AGGATAGCGAATTGGATCTATAGTTTGTACTTTTAAGAGGTCAAAAGTAATTTTTTATAATCAGGAAATACAATAAAAAGACTAAGACAAAACAAGGTAAATGCTTAACTAGTTTTTAACTAGATTGATTTTTTTTATTTTTATTTTAAAAACGAATAACAGTAGAATCTTGAAATTTTTAACATTTATACTATTATTTTCTATTTATAATAGAACCATCAAATTATTTTGACTTTTTTTGAACTTTTTTTTAGGCAAGTTGGATTTTAAATTATTTTTTTAAAAATGTCGATTAAAAATTTATGTTTGGGTAGAAATTCTTGAAAATGTAATACAAAACTACTAAGTTGTATATTTTTGAATTAAAAATTTTTAAAAATTTATAGACACAATATTTTTTATAATATTTATAATATTCAATGTTTCTTTTATATTTATTACAGGATCTTACATAGGTTGTTTTATAGTTACATATATTTAAGATACATACAATTTATTTTATTATTATTTGAAGTTCAAATTACTACAAAATTCTTCATAATCACGAGTATCTGCAAAACCTAAAATTATAAAATGTGTAATTTTTATTGCTAATGCTTGAACATTTAATACAATATTTCTTATAAGAAGTAGTACATACTGACAAACAAAAATCTAAAAAGTATATATATGTTGTGATAAATGATGTTAAATGGAAATTTACATTATTCACCAGTTATTAACGTTATTTACCAAATACACAGGTAATTGATGTTATAAATCAGATATGCGCATGAATCTCAAACACTACAATTTGAAAAATTATGTAGGTACCCAGGTATTTTTAAAAATAGAAAAAATGCAATATTATTTTTTATTTATTTTTACAAGTTTTATTCTATTATAAATAGTCGTAGATCGAATAAAAAAATAGATACTCTATTATAAATGTACAGCAGATTGGTCTCACTGGCCCACTTACTATAAATCTGAGTGATACCTTTATGTACATTTTTTTAAATTTAATTTAAAAATTAATACTAATCAGAATAAATCTGAATTTATTCTAAATAAATTAAATTAAAACAACAAAAACAAGAAAAGCGAAATAATAATAGTTAAAATAATATAATTTTTTTAATTATTTGTTTAGGTCTGTATCTACTAACTAATAAATTAATACTAGGTTCATAATTTATACATGAAAAAAAAAAATATATTAGATGAAATTAATTGGAACTTACACAAAAATTGTACCATAATGAAAGGTAATGGTTTTTTTTTTTTGCTTCACTTACTTCTATCTAAGCACTTCAATCTTCTTTATCCTTTGCAACTTTAATTCTTGTTCCATCTCTTAATCATTTTAACTCATCTTTTATTCTGTTCATACAACGTTGACATGGTTGTTATATCGATCGGTATTTTTTGGTTTGATAGTGAGTACCTGTCTAATCAATCCACTCAATCCACTTTAATCTTTTTGATCCAAGAAAATCTTATGAATTGGGTATATTATACAGTCTGTTTAAATCTTAGTTTTTTCCGCTGTATATATATTAGTATAACGTAGGTTAATATATTTTTCTAAGTATTTTTTTTTCGAAGGTTAATAGGTTATTTTCGTTACTATGTGCCGTGAATTATGTTTTATATCTGAACATGATAATTATAGCGTAATCATGCAATGTAAATTTTTATTTGCACTTATTCTGAGCTTTATTTTGTCAAGCATAATATTTTTATGGTTTATATTAGTACCTGAGTATTTGAAATTCTCTAGTTGTTCAAAAGAGAATTACCTGATTCTAAAATATTTTAATGGTATTGAGTGTCTATTAAATATTAATTTGTATATATTTAGTATTATTTTATTTATCTTGAGGTTTTTCTCTATGAGATTTTTCGTAGTCCAGTATAAATTCAGTTTCAATTCTTCAAGTATCATAATGTCATATTATCATCCGTATATGCTAAGATAGTTGTACCAACAGTATTTCTTTTTCCTAGTTTTTCCAGATGTATTATATGTCTTTTTTGAAAGTTTACTTATAACTTATAAAGTGCGAGAGATAAAGCATTTTCTTGTTTCAATCCACTGCTTCCAAGAAAACGTACTTAAAAAAAATGTGCTTGCATTATTGCAGTGCATTTTTAAGTTCACTAATTTCTCTGTTATGTATTTCGAAATGTATGAATGTTGACCATAACCGATTTTTAATATTGTTGTCATAGGTTTGTTTAAAATTTTAATGAATATCATGCTTAAGGTATTTGTTATATTCATACAACTTTTCCATAGTTTGTCTAAGGATGAATATATGGTTAGTGGCGGAATTGTCTTTTATGAAACTTCATTTATATTCACCTATTATTACTGTTGTATATTTTGAGTCTATTGAAAATGGTTATTATAAAACGGTTATAATATAATAAATACCTTGTAAGCGATATTTAGTTAGATTTGCCTCGGTTGATAATTTTCTATATTTTTAGGGCCCTTTTTTGTATATTGGACATACAATATTAATATTTCAATCTTTTTCTTGTTTTTCTTGCTTTCATTTATATGAAACATTTTTACGTATGTATTTTTTTCAAGAGTCATGTCCTATAAGTTTGAGTAGTTCCAGGTTAATTTTATCTTTTCTTAGTGCTTTAATGTTTTTTAGAGATTTTAATTTTTACTTAATCTCTGTAAAACTAGGTTTTAATACTTCTAGTTTTCTTTTAGCGTTTATTTTTACACTGAAATTTCTCTTATTTGTTTTCTGAATTCTATCTATATTATTTATTTCGTAATTTGTGTGATTTTCTAATACAGGCGTTTCCAACTTTTTTTTTTATGGTGGGCTAAATCTGAGATACGCTTTGGTATTACAGGCTACATTTAAAAAAAATTTTTTATTAAATTAATAAGTTAAAAATAATTAAAACTCATATATTATTTCTAAAACATTAATTAGCTTGGTGGATTTTAAGTCGGAGAACCCCGACTTAATTGAATTTTGAAGTATGATTGAAAATTGTTTATGATAATTTTGGGGTCTAGTATGTGATTAGCGTTAATCATAAGATAGGTACAAAATTTAAAACCATTTTTTATTGATTTACACTTTTAAAAGAATATTTTTGAGTTTTTATATTATGTTTCAATGTCATTTAATGAGTTTTCACTTTGTTCTATGTGATATCTGTCCAATTCTACTTAATTTAATTTTGGTATTTTATAATTATTGCTGTATGCTCTTTTATTTAATGTCTATCTAGTTATTTTATTGTATTAGATTGTTGCTTCTTTCTTCAATTTTTTTAATAACCTTAACGATAGTCTCGCTATCACTGAGTAGTGTACTTCATTCCCAATAGCACGAAAGTGACAATGATCGTCCCTTGTTGGGTGTTGCGGTTAAACTATTATCAAATTAAAATCTTTCTTTATGATATTGTTTTAAAAATGTGTTATTATTTTTCAAGTTAATCATCGTTGGCAGGTAAGTTATGTGTAGTATAAATCAAGTTTTAATTTTAAATGTCCCAGCTACATAAATTCGAATAAATATAAATAATGCAAAATCATTAAAAAAAAAAATAATTAATATAGTTATATATTGCCAGTTAGACAAAATGTCTCATATAAAAATGAAATAAGTAGCATAGATATTTTCATTAATTGTCGTCTAGTAACTCTTTTAATATCACTAGGCTGGAGTAGGTAGGTAATTGGAATCACCTAAACAATATATATTAAAATAAACAAAAACAAGTTTAAACACACAAAATGTACGTAATATTTGTAAAAATGACTTAAAAATTGCAAAATAAAAATTACACATTTTAAATTGTTATACAACGAAACAGATTTATTTTTTGATTAGAATTGTAAAGTATTTAAAGAAAAAAAAAGCAAAAGTTATAAAAATCTTAACTGTACTAATAAGTAATAATTTATAAGCTACTGGTTCGAATTTTAGTTTTTATGTATCAAAATAATCTGAAAAATACGCTGCTTTAGAATATAGAATTTAAAATGTATGTTATCATTAAAAAAAGTAAATAACTTAAGAAATATTATTTTTCTAAAAAAATGTTGTTTTATTTTAAAAGAAAATTACGTAAAAAAATATTTTTAAGAATATTTATAGATTTTGAGGCAATGAGTGTTGTTTAATAAAAAAATGGCCCTGTATATAAATAATATATAAATATTTAATAAACGTTGGATTGTGATGGGCAATGGCCGTTTTGATTAAACTTTGCATGACAAATAAAAATGGTTTGTAGTGTAGGTACTGTAATAATTACACTTTATGTTTGATGTACTTGTATAACTATAATTTTTAATTTTTTGTCGTACTTATGTATATCTAACTAGTCGTCTACCTATATTACAACAATAAAAATGTAATATTGATTCTTTCGTATTGGAGACTTCTGTTTCGAGTAAATTCAGAAATAGGCAATTTAGTTTTTTAATAATTAAATTTAAAAACAATTTTTATCGTATTTGAAACATGAGTCTAACTGAGGTTTAGTTTACTAGAATGCAATTGTAGCTGATAATATTTTAAATTTTAAGTGCTCAAAAAATAAAAAAAAATAAAAAACCCCTCGATAGTTTGTTATAAACAAAAATATTATTATTTTTTCAGTGAAAGGGACAATCCACTACCTAGTTGCAATCTATATACTTATATGTAAAATTTGAGTTTAGCGTTGTCTACCGACGACGAATTGTTTCGATTGGTCTCCGACTGTGCGGTGGAGTCCTACTCTCCTACCGACTACCTACTTGGCAGTGGTAGCACTGGACAAGAGGATTGGCGGGCGAGTGTAGTGTAGTGGTGGATCACGGATGATGATGAGGAGGGTTGGTTTTAAAATCAACACGTTGGTGGCGGTGTCACGGTGGGTCGCTGCCGCTTCCACCGTCCGCGATGCCGACGTTGTCGTCAACGGCGACGGCGACGGTGGTGGCTGTGGCTGCGGCAGCGGCGCGCGACGGCAGCGACGACTATGACGACGATGCGCGACGGTTAGTAAACTTTTGTCCATGGTCTGATCGACACGCTTGTTGCCACCGCTGATACTGTTTCGTTCACCTATCCTTCCGTCTGTCAATGCATACTATTTAATAAAATTATTGTAGACAAGAAGATAACGCCATCACTGTTATGCAATCCGTCCGACGGTTATTGGCGTGCACGTTTGTCGCGATCGCTGTGTGTCGGTGCATCGGCGCCCCGTCGTGTTCGCCGGATAAGTTAGCCAGGTATCGCGTGGTGGTACGTACGTTCTGGACTCGTGACCGGTTCCCAAAACATTTCCCTGAATGGAGACCACAAGCCCAGTGGAGCAAAGTCGTTGGTAAGTCGATTTAATTTATGACAGTCGTCATAAGTCGACCAGAACGTCATATTATATTTATTAGTGATTTTTATTCTAGGCATATATTGTCCATTATTATATTTAATATTTACGTAGTACCCAAATAATTATTTTAAGTATTTATTCAATGGACAAATTTATTTTGTTAAATATTGACAAAAAATAATAATTATGCATAGGGTCAGATTATATAGTTATTATTTAATTATATTGATTAATATTTATTAAGTATTATATTGTTATCTCTATCTATTTATTTGAAAAAAATTTAATTCATTATTTGTAAATTTTACATAAACAACCATCTATGTAAAAGCCACTAATCTTCAATAATATAGTGGTTTATTTTTTAACAACAAATAAATTGTATTTAATAAATCATTTTAATCATTTTGATTATCATTTAGAAATAGTAGTTACTGTAAACTATGAATAGAAGAATCAATAATTTAATCGGAAACTTATAAGCAATTTATTTTATGTAGTGTTATACATCTAAAAAAAAAACATGATTATTTATTTCTTGAATCAGGTATGAGGATAAATTTTCGAATTTTAAATGTCTATCTAAATAAATGTATTTTAAATGCTTATACGAAACAATACATTATTTAGATTAGTAGGTATAATTGATTTTATTAGAAATTTGTTTTTTTTAATTAAACACATTACATTTAAAATCATATCAAATTTAAAATTTGTAAAATTAAATAAAAATTATTCAAGTTTAAGTTAAATGAGTTTATTTAGGACACATTAGATCATTGCCAATGCGTCCTATTCTAATTTTATAAAAAATAAAATACGCATTTAATAATGAGAAATCTAAATAATATAAGTCTCAATAGACTTGGTTAATGTCATTACGTAATTGGTTGAATACCGATATAATGACATGAAAATTACTTGGTAACGTTTTAAAATATTTTTTAACAAGCACAGGGTAGATTTTTTTAAAAATCGATGCATTTTAATTTTGGAAAAATGTGAGTTGGATTTCTGGATATTTAATCGTTTCAATTAAACACGAGTTGGGACCGCCGTGTTTTAAGGTACTACTCAAATAGGGTCTGCAGTAATATTTATATTAATGTTGTTGATAATGACGATAATACTGGAGTTCGCTATCATAATGTAGCTTGTTGTAATAGATATCGACGTTGGTGTATACCGCATGAATTGTTATATAAGTGTAGAGTTTACTTGGTTAAGTTTTTTGAATGACGTGTATTTTAAATTTCTTCCTTAGTTAAAAATAAATAATTAACTATGGACAAAAAACTAAGCTACAGTAACTCAACTTGAGTTTATTTAAAATCAATATCCCGGGACCCAACTCATGTACTAGATAAAGTACATCCGGACTCAATTCGTGCCATGTTTTCAAATTTGGGACCCAACTTGAGGTTATTCTTAATTTTTATAGTATTTTAGTAAAACAATATTATTGTAAAAATACAAAGTTATATAATTTGTTTTGTTTTTAATTTTTTTAAAATTTTTATTGACATTTATTTATTTAAGTTTTTAATGGGCCAGGCCCAATTATATATACATAATAATAACAAAAATCATTCTTTAACAATAATATATAAAAAGTAAAGAAAAGAAAGAGAAAAAAATATAAAAAACTGCTGTACAATATTAATTTTATATCCAACAATTAATGTTTATCTTTATAGAAAAATATTTATATATCTGTTTAATTATTTTCTTAGCTCATAATTTTAATGTTAAATTTATTCGTATTTATTACAAAGTTTAAAATTTTCGTTTACTGTTAAAGACATATAATTGTTAAATATGTTGCAGTAATTTTCAATTAAAAATTAAAAACTCAGAATGAAAAATATATTGAGAACAATAGATACTCATAAAATTGATACTACCAGTTACTAAAATATAATTACATAGAGAATACAATTGAATAATGTACTCTTAATAATTAGATTTGGTAATGAGTCCTATATATTATTATCTCGTTCACTTGATATAACATTAAAAAAAAAAATTATTATGTATACATCGCACCGGTCAAAATATCTTCAAAATAATATCTTTAGTCAAAGTATTTTTAAACAAAAATTTTTTTAAACAAAATATCTTTTTATTTTATTTTCATCAGCTTATTATATATCATTATATCTTCGATTTAAATTCTACGATAACAATGATTCCTATAATATGTTTTATTTTAATTTATTTATTTACTTATTTTTTCTCTCTCTAAATTATGTATTATATTATATTATTATCGTATTAAATAATACATCAAAAGATGAGCAGATAATTATTTGTGATTTTTGAAAATATATACTTTTTTAACTTTGAAAAATTGTGAATGTTATTAAATTATATTCTAGTTAAATTTATTAAATAACCAATTTATACATCAGCTGTAAACCAAATTTTAATTATATTCATTACGTATAAATGATTTAGACCTAACCCTAATAATTTAAAAACTCTAATATAGTGCTACCTTAGTAGTGAATTTGTATTTTTTAAATTTTTTTTTTTATTAATTTATTAATATTGTACACTATGTAATGTAATTAATTATTCTTGTATTTATTTTATCTATTTTATTTTTTTTAGCCAATAAATATTATTTTATCTTAATTTAAAAGATATTTTGATCAAAGACATTTTTGTCATAAGATATTTTCACAAAAGATATTTTTACCGAATAATATTATGACATGGAATCCATCGTATCGAATTTTGGGTTGTACATAATATTTGATTAATATGGTGAAACCCCTAAATTCTGTATACTCAGATATATTAATCTTATTTTGATGTTATTCATTAAATATTTAAAGAAATATATCTAAAATTGTGTAACATATAAAAAACAAATCAAAATTTATGTACCAATCAATACAAAAATTAAGCATTTTAATGAATAGAAAAATTTCTATTTATAAAATAAATAAATATTTAAAACTAACTAAATTTTTTTTATTTTAATAAATTACATATAAAACTGTTTTTAACACATAAAGAGTGTCGAGACATTTTTGTATAAATTTAATTATATTTTCTTAACTTGATTTCAAAAGTTATGCTTTAATTTTATTTAAATAATTAAATAAAACGTTAAGTCTAAAATATTTTATTTATTTAACAAAATCTAAAACTTATTTATATTTTAATAATAATTAGCATGTGAATATTATGTAAGTTTATAACAACTTGTATACAATTTAAAAAATATTTGTAAGCTATTAATTACTAATTAGTATTCACATTTTTACTTTTTAAATTTATGTCGTTTTATTTATAGTTTTCGGTATCGTTTTCAAGTACATAAATATGAAATATGCATCTATAGTGCATCAACAATTTATTTTAATTAATGTTGTAGAAATCAAATAATTATGATATAAACTTTATGTACACTGTGTACACTGTAGTTTTTCTTATAAATAGGTAAATACAACATATACACTACACACGTATATATTATACATTAGCATATAAAATATAGGTGTGTGTGTGTGTGTGTGTGTGTGTGTGTGTGTGTGTTTTATTCTACGAATATATTGAAGTTAGGGTCAGCTAAAAGCCACAAACAGTTTCCAGAGGGGAAAAGTTTTTTTGACGTCTCGGTTATATAGAAAGCACTAATGGTAGCAAAGTGTGGGGGTAAGTTTTGAAAAGCTCCCGCTGTGAGCTATCGCAATTGCCTTGGCATTTGAAATCCATTGACGAACATAGACCTCGTTGTCGGAAGGATGCACATTGCATACGCTTTGTGAATATAGAAAAGGCACCTACTGTCGTTATGTGTATATGAAACTTTTCTTTCTTTTTTTTATGTTCATACTCTGTGTTAGTTTAAGTAAATTTATAATTTTTGTTTAACTCACAACTTTCTAAAATCTGCTAGTTTTAAAATTTAAAATTATATTATATTATATATATACACAAATACTGTAGACTAAATTACAAGAATATGATTGGAGACAATGTTTTATTAAATTAAATAAACTGAAATCTGAAAATATTAAAAATAATTATAATGTAAAATGTTAAGTACCTATTATATATACTACGTATAATCTATTATAACTATGGTTTAGGTAATTTACCTAATACATTTTAATTTGTAATAGTCTTAAATGTATTAACTATTATGGAATATCTCTTACAGAAAAAGTGATCATTTAACTTATACTTATTTTGCTCTTTTTAAAATATGCTTAGTTAATCAAACGATTGTAATTACAAAATTAAATAATTAATTGTGAACAAATAAATTTAAAGTTTTAAATGTGTTAGTTGTAGTTATAGACTATAGTATAATAAAATATGTATTATGGTAAAATTTAATCAAACAATAAATATAATTTGCTATAAATAAGTTGATAATTTAATGCATTTTCTTTTGTGTCATGTTAATAAAATATATGCCAGTATATCGCCCATTATTACTCTTCTATCCATCACAAAAATTACATACAATAACCACATAGTTAAAATCTTTTAACTAATATTCATTAATATATATACACTCATGTTTGCATATTTTATGAGTTCAAAATTGCTTAATTTTATTCTTTTTCTAGTCGTAATAAGAAAATTGTTTGGTATAATATTAAAAGAAACTTTTGGCGTTAAATTAAATTGTCTGTTTTTTAGTTAATTGTGCTTGGTTAATGACTATCTAATATTCTCGGATTGTCTCGACAAGAAACGAGAGTGTACTAAAATTATTACTTTATAGTATGTAAATAAAACATTTTAAACTGTAAAATTAACAGTCTATCAAATTCAATTAGAATTCATGTCGTATTGTTGTTCGATTGCTAAGATAATTGGATTATTGCTATACAGGATACAAGTGTAAGTAATTAATTTACACACAAAAACAGAAATGCTTTGGTCCAAGTATTATTGCTTTTTCAAGATTAAGGTACTCACATTATACTCGTATACTTATGCGTTATTGCTGCAGTGGACAATAAAGTAGT